ATATATATATATATATATATATATATATATATAATTGAATCTATACTCTATTTACATTTCGATTCTAGAAAATTGTGTCTTTAAAACCATTTAAATAAATAATGCTTCTTAATCATCACATCTTCATGTTATATTAGTTAATTACATTGGCCAATCATTTCTTTTATAGATGTTCTATTAACTATATTTAATTGTCCTTTTATTTTTATTTTTATTTATTTATTTATTTATTTATTTATTTATTTTTTGCAGATTTTCACAACAGCAATGTCAACCTCACTATGTACCACCAAACTTCTCAAGATGTAAAAACCTGCCTCTCTAAATTATTTAACAGGCATAGACACTTTAACTCTACTTATTCTTTTCAAAGCGCCAAAATAGTTAAAATTAACAAGCTCAATTTTCGTCATTTTAGTCACAAATTGAAAATTTTACTGTATTAAAGCTTCAAATGACATGAGCAATTCCATATATTTACAATAGGTAAAATAAATAGGTAGTTCTACCTTTTGTATTCTCAATTAATAAATTCTTATTTTATAACATTTTTTCTAATATAATTACAATTATACATATAGTTTACTCAATACTTTTGTTTTATGTTATGTAGAAACCAATACGACAAGTAAATACTGCCTACAAACTTGGAAAATAGAATCAACAATACATAAAAGGTGTTTCCGCTTAAAATTACTACATCCATTAAGAAAATGTATTACTCACTAACATGCGATTGGAAAATCATTCAATTCCACTATATGTATCCATTTTTTTCCAAAAATGCACCAATAATTACACCCATTTATATTTCCATATAACTTCAGCTTCTAGCTTCTCAACAAAATTACCATTTATTCTAAAAACATTTGTAAATTAATTTTTTTATTTAAATTATCATCTAGATGCATTGAGAGTAATCACATTCTCATATGAAAAGGCAACAAATAGATTCCATTTCCCAAAAAAAAAAAAAAAAAGATTTTACAGCAATTTTTCCCATCCTTGTCTTACACATAGATGTTTTACAGTTGACACATGTCCATAGTACTTTAATCATTATCCTTCCAACACTCAATCATACATTGAAAAGTCAAAATAAGCATTAAAATATTTCTCTCTAAATTTTCTATAAATACTGCACTTGGTACTTCAATTTCAGATTATGCAAATAGAATACACGTACTAGAATTCTCTCATACATCTATCAACACTTTGCAGATTCTAATATCAGTTCATTCCTAGTAATTCTTTACATCTCAAGTCTAAAATTCTTACTTCATCTTCTTACATTAACAACTTTCTTACATTTCTTTAATATACAGTTAGAATGTTATATTCATAGCTACAACTACAACTACTTCTACTTTTAACTTATTTGTTCAAGCAACATATAGATATCAAAGATGACTACACTCTATAAGCTTATCCCGTAGATTTCTATATCAGAAAGTAACTGGTCTACAAAAGTCATTATCGCAGGAAAACAGCTTCCGAAAACTGCTCGTAGTTCTATGACCTGATACCAAAACCTCGTTCTAATGGATTTACAGGTAACTATGTATTAATAATTACATAAATTTTCAAGCTTTCATTGTAACTTTATTTTATGTTCATGTTCTCATCCCCTAACATTAAACAGGGTAACAAAGTGACAGCTACAATGTATTATGCAAATATTACAGCACTTAACAATCAGCTCATACTCGAAAAGACATATATAATCTCGAACGCTATGGTGAAAGATAACAACAGTGTGTTTAAAAGTTCACATGAAGAAAATATTTGGACTATAACAGGGAAAACAAAGATCGAAGAGCTCAATGAGAATAACTTAAACTTCCTCTTTTCAAAATATGAGGTCAGCCCATTTCACGAACTTGAGAAGCACATGGACAAGAACGTCAACATAAGTAACATTTCTAACTTTACAACTAGTACTTCTATGCATTATTTTATAGTTATTTTATTTGTGTTAAAATTTACTACATGCAAAATACATAACAAAGAAAATTTTCCCGTCCTTCCAGATGTTATAGGAGTAGCTATAGATATTCGACAAAAACGAATGATCCAAACTCACTTCGGTACAAAAGCTTGTCTTCGGGACGTTATATTAATAGATAAACATTTTGACACAGTGATGCTAACCCTATAGGACACGTTTGTTGAATGGGAATGTATTGCCATTGTTGAAAACCTAGCAACCAGACTTGTCATATAGACTACAAATCTTAAAGTTTATTCATTCAATGGTAAGTTCAATATAAACATACCATTTTATTTACAATGACATTACAACAAAAAATGTGGACACATATTAGTTATGCTTCATTTTTTTGCAGGCATTATACTCTCGACTAAAGTCAATAGCAGTATCTTCATTAATGCTGACTTATTGGTTGTTGCAGACTATAAAGAATGGTTTAGAAACATACCTAAATAATTTCTTAACTTCTTTCCGCTATGTTCTACATGTAATTATATAATTCTTTCATGCAGGGTGATAGCAAACAAAGAAAAACTCAACAAACTTACAGAAAACAAACCATCTGTTACTCTCAGCCTCACAAAACTGTTACCTCCAGCTGAAAATAAATTCACACCAATTGCTGAATTACTGGAAGTCTATCTAGGGGTATTTTCTCAACTACTTCATTCAATATTATATAGCATAAATATATTTTTACTACATTCCATAATAAACATTATGAAAACACCGAACAATTTTTACTCTTAGTATTTTCATAATTTACTAAAACATACATTTTTTTCACAGAACAAATTCTATTGGATCAAGGCCCATTGGAGAGTTATTGCAACACACCAAAAATTTTGGTACATGTCCTGCGGTAATTGCAAAAAGCATCCAATGCAGACTTCGGACAAATTTACAAATGTCGATTTTGCAAGGATGAACATGCAAAAGTAGTACCAAGGTAAATTGAACTTTTAAACATAATTTTAAATATTTACTAACATCAATACTTTGTTCAAACAATACACAATACCTGATTGAAAACAATTTATCCACAGAGCAAATGCTTTTCTGCACCTCGAAGACAGATCTGGAGAGTTAGATGCAAGCATTATAGCGAAGCAGCAGAGGAATTATTGGAAACTAATGCTAAGGAAATAATGGACCATTTCCAAAAGGTAAACACCAAATACTAACATCCTCTAGCATTAATTTTTTCAAAGCACGAAAATACAATAGTAAAATGCATTTTATCTATCGCAGAACCCAGATGGAGAGCTGAACAATGTTATGAAAACCATTAGTGAAAAAGAGTTGCCATTCTATATAAAAGTGATAAAAAAAGGCAAAATCCACCCGAATACCGCTATGAAATCATCTTCGTCTTTAACTCTCTACCCACCATCACAAATGTGAATTCCTCACCTGCAATCATTGAAATAGATCCTTCAACTTCTGTAAGTGATGTGAAGAATTCAACTGAGATGAACAAGAGTTCAGACAAGAAAAACACGAAAGGGAAAGATAAAGTATGCAACACTGACACTGAAGTTCTCAATTACACCGAAGAAACGATTGCAATCTCTGCAAAGAGGCCTCTCTTCCAAGCACTAGATGAAACTATTGAAACAGACTTAAAGCTAAAAAAGAAGAGTAACACGGTGATATGATCCAAGAGTCGAGCCCGACGAAAGCAAGTGCGAGATGAGACCAGTTGATAGTCGATGGCGAACCGATGACGCGATCGAAGACGAGACGAGTCAACGAGGTGATGGGATTGCTCGTCAAGGCAACGATTGAAGACACCATGTTCGGAACTCAAAATGGAGCAACTTTCATGTTCGGGTCGAAGGTCAAATCAACTTGAATCAATTTAATATTGAAGGTCGAAATCGGAGGGAAATTTTAAGCCTGTGCGGTCGCATAGGCATACACGCTCGCGATCGCACAATATTCTACCGAAGCTCAAAGGAGGCATTTTGTTTGAACCATGCGACCGCAAGGAATTGCATGTTGCGGTCGCATAAGCTAATTTTTGGGCGAATTTCCTATTTTTGGTATTTTTTCATATTTTGTTAATTTTTTTTATTCTTTTCCATACTTTGGGATTGGGAATTATGCTCGACTTTTGCACGATTTTTACCCAGTTTGTAGGTTTAGTATAAATAGAAATTTTCATTCAATTGTAAGGACGACTTTTGACATATTTGATATTGAATTAAAGTGAGACGTATTGTCTTCTTTTCATCGTTCTTCATTGAACAATTTCGAACTTATCAAGTGTTAATTTGTGGCGTTCAAACAATCGAATTTAATTCTTAAATTGCATGATCAAGGGGTCTTTCAAGCATCGTTCTTGTTTGGTTTTTTGGTTCGACTTTCTTTTGGATTAATCATAAACTCTTGGATTAATTTGACCTTCTTGGGTTTTTCAGTCTCATTGTGGGTTTCGTAGTCAACGTTGCTAGGGGATTCGTATCACATAGCCTCTGAATCTGATCACTAGACCAATGTCCTTGACTTGGAAGAAAAAACCAGTCATAAAATAATTACAATAGTTTTGTGACAATAGGCAGTTATATATAATATAAGTAAGGCAACTTTATCTGCCTATCTGAAGGATTTTAAGCCTTGGTCTTTTGTTAAAGTCTACTTGTGCAGTTGCTACTAATAATACTTAAACTTCTTTTATTATCATTAAGAAATAGTCTTCAATGCTTCATTATTTGGTGTGGATTTTGTTCAACTTTTCTCTTTAATTTAAGATTGGATGAATTATCATTGTCCCAGTATATTATGGATTTAATTTTTCTCCTGAACAATGTTTTCCCTATTATTCCAGTTTGACATTCACTGATTTCGTAATGCCATTTTTTCTCTTTATGATGGTTGTATCTCTTTCACTTACAAGGTACATGTTTCTTCATGAAAAAACAGTTACACTTGCTTTACATTTGTGTCATAGCTTTATTCTAACATGTGCATGTAAATAATATTTGCGATCTTGTCTTATCATCCTCCTTTACTAAGTAAACGCAAATAATGTCATTTATATGAGTTTTAGGTAACTCAATCTTTTTACAATGTTCCGTGGAATTGCAACTGGAAATCATTTTCTTACATTCATTTGCATTATTGGATATACTATCTCCAAAATACAACAGGTATTATGTTTCTTTTGTGAATGAAGTCTATGAATGCTCTTAATATTCCTATGTATACAATCTTATACTCTTTTTCCCAGATTTTCTCTTGCATTTCAGCATAAAATTTTGAATAAAATGTTACTTAAGATATATGGTGATTTGACTGAATTCATAAGTCTATGCAGTGAATGGATACATCAATAATAGCTTTGGAAAACATTATCAAAACTGCTTTAGATTGATTAATTATCTATTGATGTTCTCTGAGCATAAGCAATTATTTTTAGAATGCACATTGGATTTTCATTAGTGAAAATTACACAAACTAATAGATTTAGAGATCGTATTTCATAAATCATAGGTAAACTTTACTATTTCAAAAATCAGATATTTTATTAATTATAATTAATATATTTTGAATATTAATAATTATATTACAAAATTAAATATACATATTCATCTTACCAAACCCTAAATTTATCTTCATTCATCCCTTTCATTTTCTCTCTCTATATCTAACATTCAGTAGGTTTCGTTCATCTCATTTTTTCTCTATTCCTCTCCCCTCTTCCCCCTTCTCTCATACCTCTATACCTTCTCTCAGATCTTACCTTCGATGGAAGATGGCCGTCGAAAGATCTTGGTCGAACAAAATTTATAGCGATGGTCACCCTACTGTTCGGCGCTACGTCACAGCATGTGAGGTACCTCGATTTTAGCAGGCACTGTATCACTACGAACCTTAACAAGTAGTGGTCATGGAGACGATAGTGATTCGAAGAAATTGGTGCACGACTATGGAGAAGATGGTTTGGCGGCTGTAGATAATAATTTGATGTGGATCTAGGGCAAATGTGGTGGTGGTGGTTTTGATTTTAGATTTGATGTCGATGTGGTATTGGTTGTGTTGGCGGCAACGTTAATGGCTGTGTAGGTTGTAGATTTGTGGAGGCTCTATTGAATCAACCAAGTGCTGCAAGCGGGTGCTATTGTAGTGGTGGTATTGTGTGCGGTGCGGTGCGGTGGTGGTGGTGTTTGTTCACGAAATATTTTCTTTCAATTTAAATCACCACAAGTGTACGGTTCGTTAACAAGTAATAAAGTCGATCAATTGAGTCCGAATATCGTCCCATAGAGATTGATTAGTTTAATTTTACCTAACTTGGCCTTAACCGAAACTGATTTGTCAAACGTGAATTGTAGCGACTCAAATTACCCTTACTTGGACTAAATATGCAAATATGTATGATTTAAATGAACTAAAATGCAAAGTGAATGTGTTGATTGCAAGTTGGTGTACTCAATGAATATAAAAGCGCGGATCACGAATCCCCAAGCAATGCTCAATTTAACCTTAATTCCAAACTTTGACAACACGATGACATTTTGAAGAATCAATACTCCTAAATATATCCAACACTCTCTCTCGAGATGAATTGAACCTATTCTTATACACCACCAGTCTATATCTCTATTACGGATGCAAATATATGAGAATGCATGTGGTTTTGTGAGTACTTAGAGATTCACGTAAAGCAAAGGGGTATATTTCTATCCCCTATCGGACCCTACGATGATTTATACCTTGTCGAATTTATTCCTCTTCTTTTGAATAGATGAAACGAACCACCAAAACTCACAAAATTATGGGACCATAATCATGGAAGCAACTAAATGCATATAAATCATTCAAAACAATCAATACGTGTTTTAGTGTCAAAATACGAAACAAAGAAGTAAATATCACATTATAAGGATCATCGATCTCCTAGTATGGATTTTTCTAGCCTAGCATGATGGGAAGGAGAACACAACAATAAGAATCAAGAAAAGACATCACCCAATCGCACTTTGATTTGAAATCTTGAATCTTGGAATGAATCCTCTCGTTCTTGCCTTCTTTTTTTCTCTTCAAATCCTCCCAAAATAATGTATAATGCGTGGTGTTTGTTTTTTGACCGTCCCTAGGGCTTTAAAAGACTCCCAAGATTTGCTTCCATAAGAGTTTTAATTAGAAAATGAAACCAGAAAATTTCTGTCATGATTGGCCTGTGCTGTCGCTTAGGCCAATATTTTCTTCTCGATAATAAGAAAAACATATGGGGCAATCGCTCGATTTTTATAACTGAGCCGTCATCCAGGCAAAATTTCTTCCATATGTTGCATTTTAGCCCCCGAAATCGATATTTGATTCTTTCAAGCCATTTCTCTTGCAATTTCAACCCTTTGACTTTCATTTGCATCCAATTGAACTAGCAACATCTTTAATCTTCATTTTGTGATCTGAATCAACTATTAAAATGTTGCAACTTAGTCTTCATACTTCGGATTTTCTTCCTTTTTGGTTCTTTTTTGTTTCTTTTCTCTTGAATTCCACCACATTAATTAATATAGTCCTACAAAATATAATTACATAGAATTAAGCCATAATTCAAACTCTTTGATCATAATTAAGTCATATTTGTGAACTAAATAAGTGTGTAAAAATATACTTATCAAACCCCACAAACTTGAACTATTGTTTGTCCTCAAACAAGATAGTGGCTCAACATTAAACAAACATGACTTAATAACCTGTCGTGTCTCGAGATTGGACTAAGTATTTGACTTCAAAAAATTTTAATTTGTGCAAGAATGAAATCAACCTTTACGGCTTTACCTATTGATTGCATACCCCACGTGCGTGTGTGAAATCATGCTAACATATTTAGTTCGTGATGGGGTTAGTCCCGACCCAGAGTGGTCAAATATGTCCTTACTTCGCTCGAAAGGTACACAAATCCACAAACTTATTCTTTTCACTCAGTTATCCCGAGGTTACGTTTTAAAGTTAGAATTTTAGGTAACTGCAGTCCTTATACTCTCTTAGTTTGGATAGATCTCACTATCACAAGTTCACATGTCAACAAATGAAGGCTCTCCCAGATTTGATTGCTTCAACACTTAAGATTAAACTAAGTTACTAGGTTCGCATCAAAGGTATAGTTTCTTCAACAAAATATCCAAGGGTCTCTTGATGTTATCGTGTCTTTTCTCACTTATTTTCTGATAATTTTTTTTGCATCATTTTCTCATTTGCTTTCTGTATAATCCCTGTAGCAAGCTTTATGCCAATGACTCCCAAACCAGTTGACTTTAGGGTATCAGGTTTTAAACACTTGCAGGCTTATTCACTCGAGTTATAAAGGCTCGATTAGATGACTTTTTATTCACCTCTTTCCCTCTTGCTTTCTATATGACCCATGTAACGAGCTTTGGGCCGATAACTCCCAAACCAGTTGATTTTGTGGTACCAGATTTTGAAATATCCTTACAAGCTTACTTGCTCGAATCATAAAGGCATGGAAAATGTGTCATATTTTCACAAGTTAGATTTATGCCCTTTATTCTTTTTGTAGGCATTTGGCCTCCAAAACCAACCCCCAATTTAAGATTTTCACTTAATTTTTATCTCACTGGTCTAGACAATCCACACAATAAAATTCAAACACGAAGCCCTCACTTATCTCAATGCTTTCCTATGATTGCTTAACCATCTCCAAACCGTCTTAAGGTGGTTTACTATTTGATTTAGTATAGGGTTATCATTTTTCTCCTACTTTATGTTCAAAACCCCAATCACTAACCTAACATGTCGAGCATGAGTGGCGTGTATAAAGAATGTCAAGTATTACATCAATAAGTATTGGTTAATTTATTCAACACCATATCCACAGTTTGTAATTTATACCAATCCAATAATCACATCATAGCCGGCAAGACTATCAAGCTCACACGAGCATGCAAGAATGGAAATACAGCAAGCTAAATAAAATGCAAAGAATTTTTTTTAACACTCATCAAGCACATAATATGCAGTCATGAAACATAGATATTGATGAACATAGGCAAAATGATGAAAATATGTTCGTGTCCAAGATTATGTCACCTACCCAAACTTGAACTGTTGTTTGTCCTCAAACAAGATAGTGGCTCAATACTAAACAAACATGGCTTAATAATCTGTCATGTCTCGGGATTGGACTAAGTATTCGACTTCAAAAAATTTTGATTAGTGCAAGAATGAAATCAACATTTACCTATTGATTGTATACCTGACGTGTGTGTGTGACATCATACTAACATATTTAGTTCGTGATGGGGTTAGTCCCGACCCAGAGTGGTCAAATATGTCCTTACTTCGCTCTTGAGGTACACAAACCCTCAAACTTATTCTTTTCACTCAGTTATCCCAAGGTTTGTTTTAAAGTTAGGATTTTAAGTAACTGCAGTCCTTACACTCTCTTAGTTTGGATAGATCTCACTATCACAAGTTCACATGTTAACAAATGAAGGCTCTCCCAGATTTGATTGCTTCAACACTTAAGATTAAGCTAAGTTACTAGGCTCGCATCAAAGGTATAGCTTCTTCAACCAAATGTCAAAGGGTCTCTTGATGCTATCGTGTCTTTTCTCACTTATTTTTTGATAATTTTTTTGCGTCATCTTCTCATTTGCTTTCTGTATAACCCCTGTAGCGAGCTTTATGCTGATGACTCCCAAACCAGTTAGCTTTAGGGCATCAGATTTTAAATTTTTGCAGGCTTATTCACTTGAGTTATAAAGGCTCGATCAGATGACTTTTTATTCACCTCTTCCCCTCTTGCTTTCTATATGACCCATATAATGAGCTTTGGATCGATAACTCCCAAACCAGTTGGTTTTGGATACCAGATTTTGAAATATCCTTACAGGCTTATTTGCTCGAATCATAAAGGCATGGAAAAAGGTGTCATATTTTCACAAGTTAGATTTATGCCCTTTATTGTTTTTCTAGACATTTGGTTTTCAGAACCAACCTCCAATTTAAGATTTTCACCTAATTTTTATCTCACAGGTCTAGGCAATCCACACAATAGAATTCATGCACGGAGCCACCACATACCTCAATGCTTTCCTATGATTGCTCAACCATTTCCAAACCGTCTTAAGGTGGTTTACTATTTGATTTAGTAGAGGATTACATTCTTCTCCTACTTTATGTTCAAAATCCCAATCACTAACCTAACATGTCAAGCATGAGTGACGTGTATAAAGAATGTCAAGTATTACATCAATAAGTATTGGTTAATCTATTAAGCACCATATCCACAATTTGTAATTTATACCAGTCCAATAATCACATCATAGCCGACAAGGCTATCAAGCCCACACAAGCATGCAAGAATGGAAATACAGCAAACTAAATAAAATGCAAAGATTTTTTTAACACTCATCAAGCAAATAATATGCAGTCATGAAACATAGATATTGATGAACATAGGCAAAATGATGAAAAGATGTTCGTGTCCAAGATTATGTCACTTACCCCCAAACTTAGATAATACATTGTCCTCAATGTGAAGATGAAATAAAAGTGTAAACAGACATAATTGAAGGACAATAATAAACTAAAAGCGTAAGATGGAATACGAGTACTCCCTTGATCTATATGGAGGTGGTGAATGAAAACTAGGACCCACGGTGTTTCTCCTTTTCCCTGTGACATTCTTTTTGGCGGCATCCTGTAAAAGTGCAAAGTATGCGTATTAGTTTACATGGTGTAAATAGATGCAACTGAGGTAAAAAATAACCTATGTAGTGTATAAATCTCCCAAACTTGCTTCAAGCTACATGTGTACATTATTGGTGTGTATAATGCATAATTTATGTCTCAACATAGGGTTTATATCACAAAAATGTGAATCACCAACGAAACTTCACTCAAAACATGCACTTTGTTCAATTTGACACATGACTGACTAAAATAGGACTTCAACCTCATGACTCGTGCTCAGTGCATTGGGACTCGTGTGGACCATGCGATCGATGACCTAAAACTATTGATAATGCTAAAAAAATTAAAAGTTCCTAAACTATTGCAAAATGAAGTAAATGAAAGGATAGAAATGTTGGGTTGCCTCCCAACTAGCGCTATTTTATAGTCAATAGCTCGACTTTTGGTATAAGTGTGTTATGACACTTTAAATATGGCTTGGTAGGTCCTGCGTAGTTTGTTCAATATGATCTTGTTTCGCATTGCAGTTATCCTCCACACTTCAAACCTGTCCTTAACCAAGTGGTGTGACTCTCTATCATCATCCGTTTGAGACTCCATGGGGTATACCTCGATCTCCTTTGAGTCAATGAGAGTGGATTGAGAGTGCATCATATCGACCTCGTGAATGTTTGGCGGTTTCTTCAACTCTTAATTGTAGGAGATTTCTATGTTAATCACATCAATCTAGAAACAGGTGTTTGGCTTGGTGGGATATTTCATTGATTTGAAAACATTAAAAGAGGCCTGCTCCTCCCCCAGTTTCAGAGTCAATTGTCCTTGTTGCACATCTATGAGAGCTCTTGCAGTTGCTAAAAATGGTCGCCCCAATATGATAGGCACGTCCTTGTCTTCTTCCATGTCCAGAATTAAGAAGTCTACTAGGAATATAAGTTTATCCACTTTGACCAATACATCTTCGATAATCCCTCGTGGATGTGTAAGTGATCGATCAGCCACCTGTAGAGTTACTGTAGTTGCTTTAGGCTCCCCCAATCCTAGTTTCCTAAAAATAGAGAGTAGCATCAAGTTAACACTCGCACCAAGATCACACAATGCTTTATTAAAATAAAAATCACCAATTGTGCAAGGGACGGTAAAACTCCTTGGATATTTCAGTTTTGGTGGGAGCTTTTTCTGGATCCTGGCGCTACTCTCTTTGGTTAACATCACCGTTTCATGTTCCTCTAGCTGGAGTTTATTTGTTAAGATGTCCTTCAGAAAATTGGCATAGCTAGGCATCTGGATTAGTGCATCGGCGAACGGGATGTTGATGTGGAGCTTTTTTAAGATTTCAAGGAACTTCTTATATTGCTGCTCCATCATGTGCTTCCTTAACCTCTGGGGAAATGGAACGGGTGGCTCATAGGGGTTAACTGGAATGGTGGCCTTACCCCGTGACGTCTCTGAACTCTCATTTGGTGTGGATTTACATGTCTACTCATTTTGCTGTACAATCTCTTCTTTTGTAGATGGTGTTGTTTCATTGTTTACACTCGACCTCTTAATGTGTCTTTCAGGTAGTTGCATCCCACTTCGAGTTGTGATCGCTTGAACATGCTCTTTGGGATTCAACTCAGTATTGCTTGGTAAAGTATCTAGTGGCCTTTTCATCATAGCGAGTGCCATCTGCCTCATCTGCGTCTCCAAGTTCTTAATTGCAGTACCATGATTTTGGAGAGTAGTTTCAGTTTTCCTTATGAACTAATTATTTGCTTCCATGTATTTTTCAGTCTTTTCCATGAACTTTGCAAACATCTCTTCCAATTGAAGTATCTTCTCTTGTTGAAATTGCCTCTAAAATCTATTCTGATTCTGGGTACCACCCCATGAGAGATTTGGATGTTCTTTCCAACTGGAATTGTAAGTTTCCCCTTATGAGTTGTTCTGTTGGCGCTGTCCCCATTGTGCATTATCTGCTTGCTCAATTCTTTGCATTATGATTGGGCACTCTGATGTTTTATTCTCAGTTTCACATTTCTCACAATTGCTCTTCTTAACGTGTGCTGACTGTGACATGCTTTCAACCTTGTGACACAAAGAGTCGATCTTTGCGGATATGGCTGAATAAGTGTATATCTCGTAGACACCTGGACCTTTCTTTGGGATCACCCTCTCAGAAGACCACATGGCTAAAGTGGTAGCCATTCTCTCGAATAATTCCAGTGCCCCATCAACTGCTCGTGTGGATATTGAGTCATCTGATGCTGAGTCTATCATGCTTTTGTGGTATGGAAGTAACCTTGTATAAAAGAATAGGATTCGGGTCTTTTGGTCAAACTCATGTTGAGGGCACTTTCGGAGCATGTTTTTTAATCTGTTCCAGGCATCGTCAAATGATTCAGTTTCTCCTTGACTGAGTATTGATATGTCATGTCTCAACTTAGCTATCTTGGCCGATGAGAAAAACTTTGTGCAAAACTTATGAGCCAGCTCGTTCCAGGTGGTAATACTTGCGACAAGAAGTGAATCTAACCACTCAAGTGCTTTATCCCATAGCGTATGTGGAAATAGCCTTAGCCTAATAGCATCGTCCGAAATTCCTTGATATCTAAAATATTGGCACATATCCAAGAACCGAGATATGTGTGTATGTGGATTCTCTTCAGCTCTGCCATAATATTGATGTCCATTCTAGAATAGTTGTATCACATTGGTCTTCAACTGGAAGTTTGGTTGCCCAAACGGTGGATATACTATACTAGACTGGCTTTGAATCACTTGAGGAGTCAAGAAATCTCCCAAAATTTCATTTCCTTCATCGATCGCCTCTCCTTCATTAGCTTGAAAAACGGGGTTGTTCTGTAAGTTAGCCATTTGTTCTTGTTGTTATCGACGTGCTTCTCTATTTTCTCGTTGCAATCGGTGAAAGATTCGCTCAATTTTCGGGTTTGCTAGAATTAATTCTCCTCCCGTCGTTGTATACATGCAACTCTTTGAGAAAATCAATAGTAGTCAGATTCAATCAATATAAATAACTAAAATAAAAATAAAACAAAATGCCTAAACGAAATTAAATGAATAAATAAAAATGAAAATTGAAAGTTCGAATTAGTGCCTAGAAAGAAATAAAATTAAACTAAACTCAATTCCCGGCAATGGTGCCAAAAATATGTTCACGAAATATTTTCTTTCGATTTAAATCACTGCAAGTGTACGGTTCGTTAACAAGTAAAAAAGTCGATCAATTGAGTCAGAATATCGTCCCACAGAGATTGATTAGTTTAATTTTACCTAACTTGGCATTAACCGAAACTGATTTGTCAAACGTGAATTGTAGTGACTTAAATTAGCCTTACTTGGACTAAATCTGCAAGTATGTATGATTTGAATGAACTAAAATGAAAAGTGAATGTGTTGATTGCAAGTTGGTGTACTCAATGAATATAAAAGCGCACTAGGATCACGAATCCCCAGGCAATGCTCAATTTAACCTTAATTCCACACTTTGACAAGACGGTGACATTTTGAAGAGTCAATACTCCTAAATCTATCCAACACTCTCTCTTGAGATGAATTGAACCTATTCTCATACACCACCAGCCTATATCTCTATGACGGATGCAAATATATGAGAATGTATGTAGTTTTGTGAGTACTTAGAGATTCATGCAAAGTATAGGGGTATATTTCTATCTCCTATCGGACCCTACGATGATTTATACCTTGTCGAATTTATTCCTCTTCTTTCAAATAGATGAAACAAACCACCAAAACTCACAAAATTACGCGCCCATAATCATGGAAGCAATTAAATACATATAAATCATTCAAAACAATCAATACGTGTTTTAGTGTCAAAATACGGAACAAAGAATTAAATATCACATTACAAGGATCATTGATCTCCTAGTATAGATTTTTCTAGCCTAACATGATGGGAAGAAGAACACAACAAGAAGAATCAAGAAAAGACATCACACAATCGCCCTTTGATTTGAAATCTTGAATCTTGGAATAAATCCTCTCGTTCTTGCCTTCTTTTTTCTCTTTAAATCCTCCCAAAATAATGTATAATGCGTGGTGTCTGTTTTTTGAATGTCTCTAGGGCTTTAAAAGACTCCCAAGATTTGTTTCCATAAGAGTTTTAATCAGAAAAGAAAATCAGAAAATTTTCGCCGCAATTGGCTTGGGCTGTCGCTCAGGCCAATATTTTCTTCTTGGTAATAAGAAAAACATATGAGGTGATCGCTCGATTTTTGTAACTGAGCTGTCGCCTAGGCAAGATTTCTTCCATATGTTGTATTTTAGCCCCCGAAATCTATTTTTGATTCTTTCAAGCCCTTTCTCTTGCAATTTCAACCATTTGACTTTCATTTGCATCCAATTGAACCCGCAACATCTTTAATTTTCATTTTGTGATCCAAATCAACTATTGAAATGTTGAAACTTAGTCCTCATACTTTGAATTTTCTTCCTTTTTGGTTCTTTTTCGCTTCTTTTCTCTTAAATTCCACCACATTCATCAATATAGTCTTACAAGACATAATTACATAGAATTAAGCCATAATTCAAATTTTTTGATCATAATTAAGTCATATTTGTGAACTAAATAAGTGTGTAAAAACACACTTATAAGTGTTGTGTGCGGTGTAGTGGTTAGGTGGTGGTGGTGCTGTGAGTACGTTGTGTTGTGTGCGGTGCAGTGGTTAGGTGGTGATGGTGCTGTGAGTACGGTGCATTGTGTGCAGTGTGGCGGTTAGCTGGTGGCGGTGCTGTGGGTGCGGTGTGTTGTGTGAGATGGTGATCTCGACGTGGTGGTGGATCTAGCAGTGTCAGTGATGTCGATCGGTTGTCCTACGGTGGTGGGTATGGCCTAGCAGTGGTGGTGTTTGATGATGGTGTGGTGGTGGCTCCGGTTGTCGCCGTTTCGCTGTTGTGGTAATGAATCTGTTGGTGTGTTGTGGTGTTGATAGGTTGTTATGAGGTGGCGGTGGCTTTGTTGGTGGCGGTGCTCCGTTGTTATGGTGGCAACGATGGTGATAATGATGGTAGATGTGTCGATCGCGAGGTGGCAGGAAATGTGGTTGAATGTTTGCGACCAATTATTTGATTGATCGTGACTAACAATTGATGAATTTGTAATATGTGACCTAAAAATTGTGACTGTAACTCACAATTGATTAAACTGGGATTGAACAATTAATCGTAACCAATTAACCTATTAATTTGTAATGAATAAATGAGTTGTGACCAATAAAATTTTTGATTCTGTGACCTACAAATTTTTTTTATCGTGATTGAAAAATAACATGAGACCTACAAAATTATTGATCGTGCCTGAAAAATAACATGTGACCTATAAAATTTTTCATTTGTGATCGAAAAATAAGTTGTGACCAATAAATTGATAAGTTGTGACTAAAAATTAATCCGTGACTATTAATTTTTTATTTATTTATGATAGATGAACAAACTGTAACCTACAAAATTTTTGAATTGTGATCGTATAATAATTTGTGACATAAAATTTCTAATTTGTAACTAAAAATTAATAAGTAACTAACTAAATCGTTAATTTGTGGTCAAATTGTACAGATCTGTGACCCTAATATATTTAATTAATTAAATATTTCTTAATTAAATCATAAATAAATTTTAATAAAAATCTGATTTTTGAAGTTTGAAACTTGTTTTCTTAATTTTGAAATGTGTGATTCTTAAACTCTTACTTATGAAATTTCCCCTTTTCATTAACATTCAACACGTTAACATTACTTTAAAAATAATATAATGCATGGGCTAAAAACTAGTAATTCTTAAAAGAGGGAATGGATGGGGATTGGGGCACACTTTGCGTTAGAAAAAATGGCAATGCCCATGAATTGCCACTATGAATCTTGGGAGGTCCTTGGGCTAAATTCATGCATTTCCATTATTCAATTGAATTGCAAGCTATTAGTTAGAAAAAGCTTGAAATAAAATCATTTTTTATTTATTGGTTTGAAATTTTGAATTTAAGGGGAGTATACTTTGTAGATCCCATCGAGATATTTTGGTAAAATTACCATCACGTGATATTTTAACTATAATGAACAGAAGCTATCCGCTATAAACATAACCTTTTAATGAAGTTAAGAATCTTGATATGATAAAAATTAGTTGGAAAGTTAGTCTCTTCATTTTGCAAGAGTCGAGAATCACAAATATTATTTAAGGGTTGACATTTTAATCGGAATCTAACCTCCCCGATCGAACTAGAGGTTCTAGTCCGATTTTTAAACTAGAACCGTGATTATCTAATTCTGTAACTGTATTTATCATTTTTTATAAGTTTTTTTTTAATAATTAATTCACCGACCTTGTGATTGGTCCAACTAGTGAGTGTGCAAAGTCAAAGTAGTAAATATTGGATATTGTTATGCTAGATACTGAATATTGTTTTTGGCATATTTGCAGTGAATTAAGAAAGTATTAAAATATATATCTGGTGATATATTATATTTCTGCTATTTTTGTCAATATTGAGAAAATAATTTTTATTGTCGGTTTATGGTTTATAAAGAAAAATATTATGTTAGAATTGAACCCGAAATGAAGCCGACTATTCGAATTCGAATTCGAACTCGATAATTATTTACAAAATACTCAAAAGTAATTGATGGTTTCGAGTACTGAAAATTCAAATCGATCTATCAGTGACCCAGAATTAAATATCCGATATCATGAAACAAATACTTATCAAAATTCAATTAGCAAATTATTTAATTCTCACATAGGCGAATGGATTTGGAATTTTAATTTGAGTGGCATAAATACGAAAACCACCGCCGCCGCCTGTTACGGCTGTTAATCGCTCAAGAGATATGGGCCTCTTATAATTTAATTTCCCACATATATGGCAAAAAAAGATATTTGCTCTGCTCAGATTTTTACTCTTCCTTCTCCAATTTGTTTGTTATTCTTCACCATTCATGCTCAAAAATCAAAACAAAACGTACGAAGTCAAATGATAATATACTTACAAAATGATGGCTTAGGTAATTGGACATGCTTTATGCAGGATTAAAACTCTGTTTGATTCTCATTATTTAACCACAAAAATGAAAAATATGACCGTTATCTATCAAATCAAGTCACTATATTTGCATTTCTATCTCTTGTGTGGATCTCATAACGACTATATTTTTCATCCTCATTCTTTTAAAAATAGATACCAAATAGAACCTAAATATACAAAAATAATGTGATTTTTATGAATATTTTGTAAAATGCATTGATTGTTAACGCTATAAAGATCCACTTCGAGTAAAATTAGTGATAAAAAAAATTAAACGAATAAACATTTTTCATTTTTTTAAAAAAATGAACGGTCTATTTTGAAGATGGACCAACTAAATTTGTAATTATTTTAATGCATTTGAAGTTTTTACCTCCACCAAACAGGGCTTAAAACTAAAATGGTATAATCTATCTGATCAAACACTGTCTTCTTCATTCTACCAATACTAGCATAGCTTATTTCAGAATATTTACAATGTCATTTTCATGACAAAATAATGAAATATCATCTTCTATCGAAACCAATTAGAATAAAGACCTACAAAATTTTCAAAGTTGAACTCAAATCAAAACTTGGTTGGAAACTTTAGCATGTTTGTCATGGAGAATTGAAGGTAAAATTTTAATCATATCATATACTGCTTACCAAATGTGCACTTCTCGTGTAGTACTCGTTACACTAAATCCTTATTTAGATGAGATGAATGGACGAAAGCACTTATCACACACAAGCAATCATCACAAGATTCATAACTAAGAAAAAAATGAAACATAAACTAGGAGGACAAGTCTTTCCTGCTAAATGGATATGAACTTTATTATTAAAAGAGGATATGCAATTACAATTCAGTAGATACCCCATGACATGATCAAAAGGGTTCTAACAGAATCAGAAAAAACTGCGAAACAAACAATTTCTTAGAGGATCACACACAAGTATAATAGGCTTCTCCAAATACTTCACTCCGATATTAAAATGACATATCTTTAGCTATTAAAAACCTCGATTTCTTAATCCTTAGAAACCATGAATCTTGATTTGATCCTTCTTCACAATGTTGGCATTAATGAGGAATTGAGAAACATTCTTACGCTGATCACCTTGGAGCTGAATCACCTTACCAAGCTCTTTGTCTTGTACAACATTTCCGTTGCAGCAGAACTCCTTTTTGAGATCTTTAAGGATCTTATCGTAGTTGAATTCCTTCCTCAGCCCCTGAACAGTCGTCAAGCTTTTCTTTCCATTCCTTTGTTGTATGCGAATATGTACATACTCCTTGGCTCCAGGCGCGCCTGAGTCCTTGGCCTCGGCAAATGGATCAAAAGCAGTTGGAATCTGGGAGTCGATATCAACCATGTAATTTTGTTGGACGAGAACTTTGTAACCAAGATCTAAGTGCGATCAACGAAGAAAGAGCTGCGTAAGTTAAACAAATGATTACTTCTCAAAGAGCTCCAGGAAAACAATTAGAATTCGGGGTCAGCTACATTAATCAATTCTATCTAAGCAAGTTGGTCGAAGACACCATGTGCATGTTTAGTACAAGAGAAGTTCCACTAGGACGGTCTTATATGCTACATGGCATGACTGTTCATTCAAATTACAATAGTTGGGAGCTTGAGCCACTCAAATTATGATACCTTAGGTCTGCACGCTTTATTTCTCTCTTACCATCTCGGGTATCGATACGTCATGATTTGAATGGCTCGAGGTCAAAAGTGGCGTGCTTTAAGTGGACGATCCTATCATTTGTGCATATGGAACCATCCCATTGAAGCTAGTAACATAAGACACGAGATTTGATCGTATAATTATAGAATCATAAGGTTCCAAAGACAGAATCATATAGAAACCTACATTCAAAACTCATCCTTATGTACATCTACGTACATATCAATTAATCAAATTAAGACCCAACAAACTTGAGGCTACCCTAAGAACTCACTCAACACAAACCTTCGGAAAGGAAAAAACCAAACCCCCTTAGTTTCTCCAATCCACAACCTTAATTTCTCCAACTCTCCACCCCTAATAAAGTATCTCACCTTCAATAAATTCAATTGGTGAAAAAAAATAGAAACCGCAACAGGGAGACTAAAAATACAAGAAACACAAAGCAGCTAACGAAATAAATAACCCAGAAACATAAGATGATGATCTTATGATTCAGAAACAAAAACATTAATCAGATCGCAACAAGAAAACCAAGAATGTTTCTTCTAGACGAGAAGGCGTAAATGTACCTCCGAACTCGCACAAATCAAACTCGGTATGTATTGTGGATTCCCGGGTTGGGGCATGAATTTATAGACAAGGGGAAAAGGCAATGGCTTGTCTTTCCATTTGGACCACTCAAAAAGACAAACTACGGTTAAGCCTATATTCTAACGATGGTTAATTTTTAGACTTTCACGTGAAAATGAACGGCGGAGATTCTTTCCGATCGACCCAATGTAATGAAAAGAGGCGCGTAGATTCAACGCAGAAAGACTGGCTTTTGACACGGAAGGATAAATTTGGGTGGAGGAAGTAAGCCCAGCTATGTGAATAATTAGAATTATACTATATGTACATTATGCTTTATACCTTTCTTGACATTTCCTTCCATGTGGAATAAATTTACATAGTGATATGATAGATGGATTCGAAATCAATGACTTTGATAGATCCATCTGGAAGAGTGTCAAAGAAGGTGCGAAGAATACATATAACATGGTTAGAATAATAATCGGATTGGATGAAATGAAAATTGCGTGTTTCACACTGATACCTGACTAGAGTATGTTCCTAAACTTGCTCTCCTCGCGCTCTTTTAGATTAACCTTTATGATGTATAGCTTAAAAAATATAAACAGCTAAGAAAACTCAAATTTTCAAGGATAAGTTTTGATGTGTATAAAATATGTATATATGGGTGTCCATCTCCTCATATGGGATGGGGCTCATCTCGCTCGAGTCCCACCCCATGTGAGGGGTGTTGACACCCTTATGTATCCAAATTATGTATGCCAAGTACAATCCAATTTTTAATATGGTATGGTTGAAAAATTGTAAAAACCATAAATTGTGTGTTTATAATTTTTTATTTGAAATAAAATATATTTGTCAAATCTATTTCTTAAATTTACAAGCTTGTCAAAACATCATTTGTATCAACAAAATTTTTGGGACCCACTTCTTTTATCTACACATCTTGGAAACAATTTATAATTTACAAAAACCTTACCTAACATACATTAAGATGAAATCAAATTAGTATGACCGTGAATTCCATAAAATGTGTGTTTCTAATTTTTTGTTTGAAATAAAGTATGTTTGTCGAAGTTTTTTTTTTTTTAAACTTACTAGTTTGTCAAAATATCATTTGTATCAACACAATTTATATGATCTACATCTTTTAGCCCCACATCTTATGTAGGGATGAATTTAGAATTGGATCCAAGATCTGGTTACAAAATTTCAAATCGAACTGCTACGTGGGCAAAAAAAATTTTACACATAAAAAACTGAATTTTTAAAAAAAAAAAAATGAAAAATACCTTTGGACCTGAGTTTGGGAGGGCTACAGTTCACCCCAACCCCCCCTAAATCCGTCTCTGATCTCATGAACCCACAATTTATATTCTACAAGAGCCTTACAAAACATACACGACGACGACATTAAATTCTTATGATTGTGAATTCATTTGTGGGTCCTGTAGCTATACACTTTTTATGCATAAAAGTAAAATGATTCACAACACCACAATATCAACAATATAATAGAATGTTCAGCCACATCAAGCAGAAATGGAATAAATTGGTTTAGGTGCTAGGATCATCAGGCAAACGTTCCAGGTCCATCTCTACTTGGTAAATAGTCCATTGCATATTTTCCAATTTCTGCACGGTGATTTTGAACTTTTTAAGAATCACCCACGGCTAAACTCTAACTGTCAAACTGATGTATGTTATTAAAAAAATCAATAAGACATGTTTGAAATGGAAAAACCAAATTTGGAAGCCAAAAGGGCTTGCAGTCGCATGGGCATTTGTAGGGCCAAGCTCTGCCATAAGTTGATCTATGCAGTCGCATAGAATTGTTCTATGCGGCTATATAGAACGATTTTTCTAGCCATGGGGATCGTTTTTGTTTGAACTTCTGGTGGCTTTTCAAGTGTTTTTGGTACCACTTCGTATATCATTGATTGATGGTTGTATATATGTGGTTGATGATAAGTGGAAAATATATAAAAATGCTTGAGAAAAAAATTCATCATTCCAAAAAGCATTGAAATTCATTTCTTTCTTCATATTCAAATCCTGATTTTGCGTTCTTAAATTTTGGAGGATTTCACTTAGTGCTTAAATGTTAATCCTTTTCAAAGTTTGATAAATCTTGTAAATCATTTGTCAAGAATCTCTTTAAACACCAAAATTCAATTCGAGAGGGGGTATTGCTATCTTATGAAGTTTGTCCCATCAAAACGGTTCAAACGAACGAAGTTCTAATTGAAGTTCCTTCTAACGGTGCTGAAAATGTTCTACATCCTTGATTCATATTTGGCGCCATTATCATAACCAACAAATGGAGATACTGATGTCATAGGAGCCGAAAGACAAAAAAGGTCAAGAGGATGAATTGATTTGTTGCAGTCCGACCAGCTCGATGATCTCTACATCAACACATATTCAGCAAAAGAAATATGTGATGTTTTGAAAAGTAAGTACAAAGTCGAATAAAAAGGTACTAAGAAATTTCTGATTTCGAGGTATCTTGACTTTTTCTTGATAATATTCTCATTCTTTCCCAAAAACATGAATTACAAGTCCTTGTCAATAAGTTGAAGACAGTCAAAATTGAGATCCTGAAAACTTTACAAGTTGGAGCAATCATTGCAAAACTCTCAGGAATTTGGAAAGGATATCGGAAGGAAATCATGTATAGTTTCGAAGATTACTTTTTGGAACAATTTCAGAAATATCTTTGTATTGAGGAAGAGTCAAGGGAGAGAGATAAAATTGACAATTTTTTTGAAGGCACTTCCGAGGCCAATGCTATAGAGAAGATTGAACCTTTTAATAAATCCAACAACAGAAAGCCTTCAAAGAACTTTAACAAGTTCAAGAAGAAATCCAAAGATGGTTGTTTTGTATGTGGAAGCCTGGACATTATGCAAAAGGGATGTCGACACTGGAAACGAAACAACTTTAAAGGAAAGGTAAACTTCGTTAAAGAAGACAATATTGTTGCCAGCGTAAGTGAGATTAACGCAATAAAATGAAAAGTTCCTGGATGGTGGCCTGACAAGTTTTTATTCAAAACTTATTATGATGTTGACGGAAATCGAGAGATTTAAATGGGTAATGAAGTCCGCTATCATTTTCACTTCCGGCAAGATCGTTATCTTGACCAATATGCTATTTGTTCCCGATATGAATAGGAACTTAGTTAGCAAAAATATTTTAGGAAAATCAGACATAAAAAATGTTTATAAGTTCGGTAAACTTGTACTATCTCTTTGAAAAAATTATTAAAAAAGGTTATTCTTGTAAAGGAATGGTCAAATCTTATACTGTTGACAAGACAATTAATAATAAAGTTGACTTTGCTTATATTGTTGATTCATTTATATTATGGCATGCTGGATTATATCACATAGATAAGAGTACAATGAAAAGAATGTTGACATGTAACTTAATATCATATAATGAAAATGATGTATTTAAATGTAAAACATGTGTAGAATCTAATATGACTAAAAAGCCTTGTCAAAGTGTAAATATGACTTCTATTATTTTGGATTTAATACATACGAATACATGTGAGTTAAATGGCATGTTAACTAGTGGTGAAAATGTCAAAAAAATGAAAGGTGGGGACTTTTTGTATATTACATTGAAAGGTAAGAGCCTTTTTTGCTAATTACCCTTAAAATCAATATAATTAGCTGAATTTGGAAAGATAATGAATAATAATTATTCTTTTTCTGTTTTCATGTTAAAGATAATTTATTTTTCCATGCTTCTATTTCTTCCAGGTTTTACCCATTATTTATTTTATACAAATTATAAATCTAATTCACAATTTTCTACAAAAGCATCAGGCAAAAGCTACTCGGATCAGGGAGAAATACCCCAATAGAATTACGGTACAGAAGAAGTCATTTATCAATATGCAAGATTGTTTGCTTGACATTTTATCTCTTTGCTCCAATTATTCTTTCATCACTAGTCGCTATCACGTGCATTGCACGAATTTTGTATTTATTGTATTTTTATTAGTGTATGAATTTTAGTTTTTTTGAAAAGTTTTTGAAGTAATATCTAAAAATATTTTCATGATATAAGAAAATAATTATAAATTATTTTTTCAATTGTACAGCAGTATGTTATCTAGAAAAAATATGCTTGTATATTTTATACTTAAATAAGAAATATATAAACTATTTTGTTTGTAATCTTTGATAGTATTGATATGATTGAATTGAATGTGAAGCTTATATTTCTAAATTTTGTGTAATTCAATATTGTAAAATTGAAAAAAAAAACTCTCCGCACAGTGCGAAGAGAGTTGAACCAAGTGCAGAGTAAAAATAAAAAAAGGTGTAGAGAGAACACAGTGTGTAGAAAGTTGAACCATATGCGAGAGTTGACAAACTCTTCGCACAGTGCGGAGTAAAAAAAATAATCTTCACATAGTGCGGAGAGATGACAAATCAACTCTCCGCACAGTACGGAGAGTAAAAAAACTCTTAGCACTGTGCAGAGAGAGTTAATCTCTTCGCACATTGAGGAGAGTTGTTTCGCACCATGGTAAAACTCTTCACACAGTGCGGAGAGAGAAAAAACTCTCCACACAATGCGTAAAGAGTTGAACTATGTGCAGAGTAAAAAAAAAAGTGCAGAGAGAAAAAAATTTCTTCGCACAGTGCAGAGAGAGTTGAACCATGTGTGGAGAGTTGACAAACTCTTCGTACAATGCAGAGTAAAAAAAACTCTCCGCACAATACAGAGAAAAAAATCTCCGTACAGTGCGGAAAGTTGTTTACAAATTCCTTAATTACAAGTAAAATTTCAAAATTGCAAATTTTTCGTATATACAACGAAACAGAGTTGACAAACATGGCTCAAAATCAATTATATCTTTTTTAAATTCCAGTCACACATCAATTTCTGAGCATGCAAATCATATTTATGGTATTGAAAATGAGCTTTCTCGTGATTCATACAATGAAACAATATGTGAATTGTGCAAAGAAGGGAATACTGATAGTACCATGGCATTGCTTTCATAAATGGAGGCTCTAGGGTACCACCCAAATTCAATATTTTACACTTGCTTGATAACAGCTCTTTGACATTAGAAGCGGATACAATTTTTAATGAAATTATACTTTCGGGTTGTAGGCCAGGAATTAAAGTGTTCAATCCATTGTTCAAAAGTTGTTTAAGAAAAGACCTCTTGAAACTTGCGGATAAAGTCTCAAGAGTTTTTGTTTTTCTCTTCACACTTTGCGAATAGATAGCTTGCCATCTCTCCGCACTTTGCGAAATCTTTTTTTTTTGACTCATGTACGGAGATTTTTATTTTTGTCTTAAGAAGTTTATATATACTAAAATTATTATTATTTTTTTAATATTGTTGGCATGATACGTGTGTGGAAGAATATTTGTCAATCACCATAAACAAAACTCTTCACAAAATGTAAAAAATAAAAATACATAATAAATCTTCTTATTACGCTAATAAAATTACAATAATTTTTTTTAAAATAACATAAAAAAGTCATTTTTATCTTCAACAAAAAAACACATTTAAAAATTAACAATTTCATAACCATTTTTTTTTTAAATTCTCTAAAATACAATTATAAAAAAAGAAATAATATTGAATTACAACATTTAATACTTAAGAAATTCAATATTAAATAAATTTTATACATTTATAACAAATTATAGATCCATTTATGCAACTTACCGTATATACAGCCTACCGTATTTACAAACAACTTACCGTATTTATAGTTTACCGTATATGCTGTCTACCGTATTTGCAACTTACCGTATATGTTGTCTACCCTATTTGCAGCTTACTGTATTTTTATATATAGATTCTTACACCTACAAATAACGAGAATGCAGAACACCGTACATTCACTTATCAAATCGAATTTCAAAAAAATTTTCAGATTTTTATTTTTTCAATATAAGTATAAAAGAAATATTAAATATATATGAAGCACAAAATATAAATACATATGAATATGTTGCTCAATCTTCAATTTTTCAATATTGAATTATACAATTTAGAAATATAATCTTCACATTCAACTCAATCATATCAACATTATCAAAGAATACAAGTAAAATAATTTATATAATCTCGTATATTTCTTATTCAAATATGAAGTATACAAGTATATTTTTTTCTAGATGACACAATACTGTTATACAAATATAAAAATAATTTGTAATTATTTTCTTATATTATAGAAATATTTTTAGATATTGTTTCAAAAACTTTCCAAAAAACTAAAATTTATACACTAATAAAAGTATGATAAATGTAAAATTCGTACAACGCATGTAATAGTCATTGTGCGGAGAATTTTTTTTTATAACTTCGTATTGTACGGAGAGTTTGCCAACTCTCTGCACCGTGTGAAGTTTTTTTTTTATTTTGCCTTTTTTACTCCGCACTGTACAGAGAGTCCATACTTTGTGAGGACAGTGTCGCACAGAATACCATCTCTCCACACTGTGCGGAGTATGGATATCTCTCCGTACTGTGCGGAGAGATTTTTTTTTACTTTGCACTGTACGGAGAGTTTGTCAACTCTCCGTACTCTGCGGAGAGTTTATTTCTTCATTTTTTACTTCGCATATGGTTTGCCATCTCTCCGTACTGTGCGGAGAGTTTATTTTTATTTTTTTAACGCTCATGTGCGAAGATTTTTTTTTTTTTTGCTCATGGCAATTTATATTTATTAAAATTATTATTAATTTTTTAATGCTAGCGGCATGATGTGTGGGAAAAATATTTGTTTGACATAATTATTTTTTTAATGCTAGTGAGATGATGTGTGGAAGAACATTTATTTGACATAAACAACATGAAAAATAAAAAATGACATCATGCATAGTAAAATTGGATTCATTTACTATTGCATCAATAGTATACCCTCTTTTCCATTTTTATTAGAAGTTAGATACATACTTTAAAAATGTGGGTCACTGTGGAAAAGGCTAGATGAAGTGACGTACGTGACATTGAAAAAGTAAGTAATCTTAATTTATTTATTTATTATTTTTTTTATGACAAGGGAACCGGCGGAATCCGCGATCGCTTCCCTTCGGGTGTGCACTGAGTAAACTTTCGGGTTGACGCAATAACCTACAAACCACGTCAGTCAGGTAAATCGCACTAGGTAAACCCGGTGCAATAGGTTCGATCGAGAAAGTGTTGGTACGGTGAATTGAACTCGTGATCAAAGGTCTGCCAACTCACCTACTCCACCAACTTAGCCACCCCATGAGGGGCAAGTAGTCTTCAAGAAATCCCCTTTGCTTGTTTTATACTTTGTAAAATCTTGACTAATGTAGATATTTGGTTCCTGTTGATTTCACTGTCGGGCAATTTTTATATGTTGTGCAAAAGAGGATTAAGCTCAATGCTGAGAAAGCTATATTTATCATTGTCAAGGACAATAATTAAAACCAATATTTTCAATAACGTTAATTAAAACCTTTTATCTCCTGTTGAAAATAATGATCGAAAGATTGTTATAGAACAAAATGCTAAAATTCATTTTTGTTTCTGTTTCTCTCAATGCACCTGAGGTGAAACTTAAAAGAAATTAAGTAATAAACTTTTTGGATTAATATAAGTTTTGTTGGACAAATCTAGGGTTAAGTTATTTAGCCCTTGGTTGGGCTCCATTTTAATGAGTTTGTGGGAAAAATGTATTTCAAAATGGTATTTTTTGAATAATGTATGGTTGATAAGGAGAAAAAGTTCGGATTTATATATAATATTATTTTATTGAAAAATATGTTATCGACAAGAATAAAGAGAAAAAAATGCATTAAAATTAAAATTAAGTCGAAACGTGAGCTTATTTTAGAAGCAGAAAATATATTTAACCAACTCTGTCGCTAGCAAAACATGCCAGTGCTATTAATTTTGTAAGGTAGCACAAAAATGCAGTAGGAAAAACCAATTGCGGTGAGCGTGGATCGAACACGCGACCTTCAGATCTTCAGTCTGACGCTCTCCCAACTGAGCTATCCCCGCCATGCTACAAAGCAGAAACTTTTGATAATCAAGTTATGATGACTCTGTCAGGATATTTCAATACACTTCCACTATTTCTTAAATAAATAGAATCATTTAGGTTCACATAATTATTAGAACTAAGCTTGAATCCTAACTAGTGATGTCAATGGGGCGGGTTTGGGATGGGGCACTCCCACGCCTCCCCGCCTTAGACGGGGCAAGGCCGGGTGGGGATGGGGCAACTTTTTGCCCTGTTTGTTGTCCCGTTTAATTTTATTTATTATTATTATTATTATTTTTTTTTTACATTTTGAAAGTTTCGAATTATATTATTATTAGAGAATAAAATACAAATTTAAAATAAGTTTTTAAAGGACGAATTGTCTAAAATAAAATTATTTAAATTTTTTTTTTTTTACTTTTTCTTCACGGGTTGCCCCGCCTCGCGCCCCGCGACGGGGCGAACATTTACGCCCTGCGCAGCCCGCGACGGGGCGGGGGCAAATTGTCATCACTAATCCTAACCTCGATTATAAAGGTCTAATTTTCGTTAAAATGTCTACTCTTATATAGAATGACGCCAAATAATTTGGTCAATTGGGGTAGTTGTAGTTTTCACAATCGTTTGAAAATATAGTTTAAACATTTTTGATAGATTTAAAGAAGATTAAAAGTTTGAGTACCAATTAAATTGATTAAAGTTTAGATTATTTCATTAGACATCAATTTTTTTAAAAAAAATTTGTTTTCTAATTAATCTTTACCACTTGGCTCCTTTTATTTCAAAGAGCAGTGCTTCATTTACAGAATGAAGGTTTACAGAAATTTTACATACAAAATACAATTGTGTGGGGCTCGCAATTTATTGTCAATTTTTGATACACTCGTGGGATCCGGTCTCCTGTCTCTTCTGACTTCATTCTGTGATCAATTAATCTGTACAATCAGAATTTTCCTATTTCAAATAGCAAATTTATGTTTTTCCAATTTAAATTATTGAAAGCCCCGAAATTTTACCGACAAACCTTCAACTTATGGTGCACAATTTCCCGCACTTGAATTCGCATTTTGCGGCTAAAAGTTCGGAAACTGAGTTGGTCGGCTGGTCCCAATTCTTCTCTCCAATTTCAACTAAACGTCTCAATAATTATTATCTCTACACTAACGTTTTTTGTTAAAACAGTAAAGTACCGTGTTAGAGGAACCGTAGAGAGGAAGCCCTGCCTTTCCTAGTGCTTGTGAACCTCATACAGTGTCTCTGTGTCAAACACAATCATTACTCCGGGAAGCACAAAATTTGAACATGGAATCAGCGGTGCATTATACATACACCCTCCCGCCGGAGGACGATCTAGAAATTAAGAGCATGGCGGACTCGGTGAGGGCTGTGGAGAAGCTGTTGAATTACAATTTCACGGACAAGAAGCTTTTGGAGGAGGCCTTGACTCACTCCTCCTACACTGGGTCAGCTTCCTATCAGCGGCTAGAATTCGTCGGAGATGCAGCTCTGGGTTTAGCCATCACGAATTACATGTTTTTGGCATACCCGGACGCCGACCAGGGCAAGTTATCCCTCGTGCGCGCCGCCAATATTAGTACCGAGAAGCTCGCCCGAGTAGCCATCCGCCACGGCCTGTACAAATATGTACGTCACAATGCTACCGCCCTTGATGAGAAGGTAGGGGTGAATTCTTACTTGCAATCTGTAGCATAAGTGCCATGGGCGTACACATATATACACACACGGGTGATTTTCAATTTCAGTTTTGAATACCAAGTCAACTGGGTTTTCTGCTTGCCTATGATTTAAGCAATTTTACACAGATGCATTTATACCTGTCATCAATGCCTTTTTTCATTTTTCTTTCGGTATTTTTTTTTTTTTTTTTTTTTTTTTTTTTGTTTTTTTTTTTTTTTTTTTTTTTTTTTTTTTAGCACATTCACTTGTAGGAGTCTCAGTGTGAATATATCTTCTTGTTTTAAATTTTAATGAATCTGTGTCCCACTGTGGTGGAAACATGGTAAGACATTAAATATGTTGGAAGCCTGTTATAGCTGAACAATTTGGCTTCACTCTTTAGAAAAACCATCAGTGTTTGGATGGTGATGTTTATTTTTAACTGGGACATGGCTTTGGTCGAGTTGAAAATGGTGAAGTCGGTTCAGATATCCAGTAAGCACTTGACTCGCAGGACATTCCACTAAAAGATCACCCATTGGTAAAAATTACTAGGTGTACGTACCTAAGAATCGTTCATTGGAGCTGCATTATCAATTGCTTATTGGGGATCTGAGCCAACTTTTCACTTTCCAGATATCCAATAAGCACTTGACTTGCAGGATATTCTACTACGAGATCACCCATTGGTAAAAATTACTAGGTGCACGTACCCAAGAATTGTTCATTGGAGCTGCATTATCAATTGCTTATTGGGGATCCGAGCCAACTTTTCCATTTTGAAGTCTACCAAAGTCGAGTCCTTTTCATGGTTATGCTTCAGGTAATGGAATTTGCAATAGCGATACAAGAAGAGGAGGATGCAGAGGTGCATGGAGGATTATTGAAAGCACCAAAAGTTCTAGCAGACATTGTGGAGTCTGTGGCAGCTGCTGTATACGTTGACTGCAACTTCAATTTGAAGGATATGTGGTTGGTTAGTTTTTCCTTTGCTTGGTTGTTTTTCTTTAACGTTTCTATGCAATTACTATATGTTATTTGTGGTAATATTTGGCCAAAATGGTTTGTATTACACCATGTACAATTTGGTTATTCTTCTTGGTGAAAACAAGTTTAAGACATGCCACAAATAGTACATATGATGATTTTAGCTGTGTATATCCTTCCATGACATAATGGATCAAAATTTTGTAATAAGCCCAACCTTTTTAAAATCAAAGTAATTTGTTGTGGAATAAGCTGCAAAATACACCCAAAATTGCTGTATTGTGAAAAATGCACATTGTTTACACATTCTTTCAATCACTTTTGCTTTAGGTCATTAGAGACCTCTTGGAGCCTATTGTCACAATTGGTATGCTTGAACAACAACCACAACCAGTGACAATGCTTTTTGAGTTGTGCCAAAAGGATGGAAAGCAAGTTGACATAAGACATTGGAGAAAAGGAGAGAGAAATGTTGCAAGCGTCTATGTTGATGGACATTTTGTTGCTTCAGCTTCTGCCGAGCAAAAAGAAAATGCAAAGCTTCATGCAGCGAAGGCTGCTTTGCAGAAGTTGTCATACAAATCCAGTGACATGATGGGGCCCGACATCTTCAGCGAACTCAATGGGGATATGGAGATTGAAGGAGCAAAACAAAAGCTCCATGAGTTATGTGGCAAGAAAAAGTGGCCACGACCAGATTACAAGTATGGCTTTTCCTATCACTGAGCTCATAATATTGCAATCACTTATATATATAATCACCCATAAACTTGTTTAATATGTATAAAAAACTTTGCTGCTTTGTTGCAAACTTTCTGCAAGTTCAAGGCAGCAATTGAGGAAAATTATAGCTGTTTTCATCTGGAATTTTCTAATTAGCTAGCATGGAATCTTTTACCCTGAGTGCTTAAAACAGAAAAGAAAAGATGGGTTTGGAAAATCATATGTTGGGGAATAAATGTTGAAGCAATGCATTTATCAGCCCTGATTTCCTGCCAGATAAAAACTTCCCACCACTGATATGGCAAGAGAACCTTACTTATGGTTCTCTTTTATCGTGCCCACTAGGAGATCAATTTCAATGCATTTAATCCATCCAAAAGTACCATACATAAATGACTTAATATATATTTGTTTTTTCGTCCCCCTCAGCACTCCTGCATTTTGAGTGCAAGGCTGTCAATTGGGAAAAGAATGACTGTGTAGTGGTAGTTCTATGCATTTGATTACCTCAGTGAAGTCGCACAAGATAAGGTCTTTAGGTTGCAGTGACCAATCCAGATTGTTTATGTGATGCTTCACCAATTACACGTTCTCGATAGAAACTAATAAATGAAAACAGTTTACATTATGAAGAGGAGAGTGTAGGTAAACTGAGAATGAATTATATTACTAATATTCTGTAGAATGTGTTTAAAAGTAGTATGTTCCCCAAGACTAAAACCTCATAATTGTAATATTATGATTCCTTCTCCAACCATTTGCCTTTTTCTTATATGCTAGTTGCAAGTTTGGGTAGAAACGCATTCTGTAATTCAACTTAATATAAATTACAAGAGTCGATCATGTATATATTTTCTTTCTTAAATGCTGCTAAGATTTTAATACGAGGAAATTCAGTTGAAACTTTAGCAGTGGGTATTTTGGTTTTGAAGGTTTATATAGTGTTTCATTTTGTGGTAATGAAAATGGATGGAATAATGTTTTTTTGAAAAATGAATGGTTGAAAAAGAAGAAAAAGTTTTCGGTTTACGTGTAATATTATTTTATGGAAGATTGTGTGATTAAAAATAGGAGAGAGAAAAATGAAATGTAATGGAATGAAAATTAATGGGAGCATAACTGATGTGCTGAAATATTTGTTCACATCTGAATTTGTAACTTATTTCAAGACATGCCTATCTGAACTGGTACAAATGTTAGGAGTTGTACTTTTATTAGATGTTAGGTACGTAGTATTGAATAAGAATTAATAGTATAATAGATGAGGTTTTATCATTACTACTGTCTAATCCAGTTCAATCCAATTATCCTGGCAAAACATGCCAATATGATTCTCTTACATTTAGGTGAACTTATAATAGTAAAAAATGAGTGGGGGATTCAATCTTGTTTATGAACTACATATGCCCTGATGTTTGTCCAATATATGTATACAGAGTTGATAGAGAGGTTGGTCGATCTCATGAGAAGAGATACATATGCTCCGTTCAAATCGAAATCGATGAAAGTGTACTCTTATCAACAGGGAACGAAAAGACACGGATAAGAGATGCAGAGAACTCTGCAGCTTCTGCAATGCTTCATGGTCTACGAGAATCTAAGTACCTTTGATGATTTCTCCTATTGTTTTTATAGAATTGTCAACATTTTCTCCATTTGAATTCGGTGACCAATAATGCATCATCATTTCATTCCAAATGCATTATGCTGTTAAAGCAACAGATTTTGCTTGCATTTCAAAACTTCAGTATATTATGTTTTTGTATTTCTTGACATGAGAATGTCTTTCTAAATTGCAAATATAGCCCTTTTTTGGCTGTCACTCTCCCCCCACCCCACCAACAAATTTCTTTACAATTAAATGGAAGAAATCATTGGTAAATTAGTATTCTCTAACACGCGCAATTTGGCAAAAACCCCAACAAGCGGCGCTGTATTATATGTGCAGGCTTCTGTTTGTATAAAATTCCCTCTTCTATCCCTGAATTCATCCATGTTATCTGGTCCACCTACCAAAGCTCCAACAAGAACATTCGGGTTTGGATCCTGGCGTCCATACCAGTTATCATATCCCTGAGTGCACCCGACAAAACCCTTGCTTTCTCTATATGATTCCATGGATGCACCCCTATGGTGCACCCACATGGGATAGGTAGGTCCATTGCCAACCAAGTAGCTCGTTCCCATGGGATTAGAACCCAGAATGTAGTCTACTTGTGATTTGACGACGGACAGGATCTCCTGGGGGCCCACTAAATCTCCATCGCAATTGAGCATTTGATTGGTAGATTCAAGATAGTCAGAATACACTGTCAGTAAAAATGATGCACTAGAAACGTACTGCATGTTGTTCCATTGACGGGTGTACAGGAGCCCACCTGGGGTGCGTTGCACATTAGTTGAATTGTTTTTGTTTAGACAAGCACATAAGAAATGTTCTGCCTTTGAACGGTATTCTTGGATGGTCTTACTTTGCTCTTCATTCTTTCCTTCCACTGGCAACTGCAAGAGAAGAAAACAAAGATTTTAGCAAATAATATCAAGAAAATGTGCACAATATTAGACAGTGCATTTGAATAATCTTTTCCTTTTTCTATATAATCAAGACTAGTATCGTCCAGTCCATTGAACAAACACGCCATGTTTGCTTTACATTGGATTCTATTACGATAAATCTTGATCACTTTTTGTCACTTCTTTTTATTGCTAATCTGCAGCTAATTATATTTCGATCAGGAAATTGCCTTTAATTTGAAAGTAGAGAGATAAAATGAAGGTGATTTTGCGATCATGAGGCTGGTGATGGCTGAAAAGAAGAGGAAGTCCACCAAATTATGAGGGTGAACTGTTGAGGGTGTCCCCTGTCCCATTGTAATAAATGTTAACTAATCAAATGGGTTATTGAAGATAACACCAAATGCAGAAATTTACAAGGTTGGCGAGGTAGGTTATATCATTGCAGCATTGATCTGAACATCAGCATGACAAGACAAATCTGATAGATAGTATAAGAGTTGCATTGAACACATGATCACTAGACCACTAGCAAAAAACAATTGATGGCAACGTTTTGTTTTAAGTGATCATTTGAGTAAAACGATTGTTACAATTTGGTCATGCAAGATGAAGCCCTGCTAGTTTACGTATAAAAAAAAATAAAAATTGATATTGATAAAAGTTAAATGAGATGCATGGTTAAAAAATTGATAAAAATCATGAACCTCATGAAACGTGTGGATGAATGAGTTTTAGAAAATTGGCCAAACGGGGTGAAATCACATCAGAAGTTTAATGGCTACCACTAAAAATTGCATGCATGATATTGCCCAAATAAAACTTTCTAAGAATGCAATATAGCATGTGCAATGCAGTAAAGGGTGGTACCATTGCAGCTATGATTTGGACACCGGCATATTTAACGTCCCAGCTGAATTCTGTGATGGCCCAAGTGATCCCACCAAAGGACTCGGCATTCTCTATTACATAATTCAAGTAATATAAATCGTCGGTGGCCTTGTATAGCCACACAGCTGCCCATAACAACTCATCCATGTAACCACTCACCGACGTATAATACCCCTTAGCTACTTCAATACTGCTGTCGTATTTCCCTCTATACTTGTCACCAAATTCAAACAACTGCAAAACAAACCTCCTAATTCAATAATTTACTACAAAGAACCGTATTGAAAAAGAAAAACCGCCCATCTAACAAGCATTGGGAATTTAATTTCTGAGATATGTTCAAATTCAATATAGTATTATTAAACATTAAGGGTCTGTTTGATTGCGAAAATGAAATTTGGGTGGAAAGAAAATGAATTCCAGAGAATTGAATTACCTAGAAATTGTTTTCCTAGAAATTGTAAATTATTGTGTTTGATTGGTATAATTTTCCACGTGGAAAATGTTGAAGTAAAAGTGTTTTTTGGTGTTTGTTTGGCTTTATTTTACATGAAAATTGTCAATTTAAGGGATATTCATTTCTACCATTGCTCCTATAATTTGTTTCCATTGCCAACAAAAAAAAAAGGGAAAAAAAAAAAGATCAAAAAATATCTATATTTTGGTATTTGTTTGGCTTTGTTTTACATGAAATTTGTCAATTTCAGGGATATCCACTTTTACAATTCTTTCTAGAATTTGTTACAATTGCCAACAATTAAAAAAAAAAAAAAAGCAAAAAAAAAAAAAAAAAGGTGGAAAAC